AATGTGGTAGGATAAATGAACATCATATTTTTGAGTCAATCGTCTATTAAGTTGTGAAAAACTTGGCAAGGAAAGCATCATTTGCTAAGTCTTTATAAGTTGCTTTTTAAAATATCTGCTCAATGAAAAGAAAAAAATGAATATCCTGCCAAGGAACAGTGAATGACCGCTTACTGTTTGAACCTGTTATGTTTTTTTTTTTTTTGAGAATTTTTAATATTTATTTTTTAGTTCTCGATGGACACAACATCTTTTGTTGGTATGTGGTGCTGGGGATCGAACCCGGGCTGCCCGCATGCCATGCGAGCGCTCTACCGCTTGAGCCACATCCCCAGCCCCTGTTATGTTTTTTATAGTTTAGTTTTAAAACAATGTATCAAAATAACTGAATGGATTCTATAGGTATATTCATTGTTTATAAGATAACAAGGGTTTCATTTTATCTCAGTAACTGTGTAATTTGTCTTTTCTAATGTACATAATAATAGACTACAGGAAGTATATATAATTTTGTAAAATAGAGATGGGCATTCTAATTTGTACTGACTGGGTACCTGAACTTAGATGTTTGGAAGTGACCAATTGCTAATTTCTCCTTTTCTGTTCTAGAATTTACATAGTACATGATGAAGTTAAAGATAAAGCTTTTGAACTAGAGCTCAGCTGGGTTGGTGAACGTAAGTTACTTTTAGACATTTACTTATTCTAGGACAAACTTAGTGTATTTAATTTACCTTTTTTAATATAAAGAAATCCAAAACAGAATTAACAGGTTGTTAGTTAATCAAAGGGAAAATTCTTCTTAATAATTGACTAAAGTTGTGAACAGTTCATTGTTTTGAAATATCTGTTTCATGCATTACTGAGAAATCACCCATTTTTTCTACCTAGCGGGCTTAAAGGATAGGCTATTTTCAGAATCTAATCATGCTGTAAATTAATTCTCAGGATTTATAAATCATAATTTTCAATAGTTTAACTTGGGCACATTTAGTCAAACATGAAAGAAACACACAAAAGTTAGTACAAAGTATCTTCTTTATTATTCTTAGTACAGTATTACAACCTTAGGTGAACAATCATACTACCTAAGGATTTGGATAAATTGTATGGTATTGTAAATCAGTATGCTCATTTTTAATTCAACTGAATATATGGCTTAATTTACAGTAACTAAAGGAAGACATGAAATTGTTCCAAAAGATATAAGGGAAGAAGCAGAGAAATATGCTAAGGTGAGCTTCAGCATTAAAAACTAAGTACTAAGTTTTTTTGGGGGGTTAAAAGTAGACAGGATTTTCAGGACACAAAATGCTTTTCAGTTGTATATATTCTAAAGAAGTATTCGTTTTTCATTTTTAAAGTTTTTAGATAAATTTTTAATGAGTGCTAATAAGTGGGACATAATGATATTAATCAAATATAAATACCATTTTTCTCTTAACAGGAATCTTTGAAGGAAGAGGATGAATCAGATGATGATAATATGTAACATTTACTTCAGCATCTATTCTATAACAGTTCCTTGTAACTTTAGCCCCTGACCAGTTTTCATTAAATTTTTGACTTGTAGCCACTGAAGTTTGGTTAATATCTACTTAACACAATTGGAGAAATGATCAATGACATTCATTACATTTGCTTATTATTAAAATACAGACTTATGCCTACTACTAAAATTCCTTAGAATACTGTAAAATGAGTCTTTGGAATAAGATGAATTCATTCTGTTTGGTTCTTTTATACTGGTCATCAGCCAGTTTTGACTTTTAGGTGTAAGAAAGATGTTTTCTCTATCTGAGAAGTCAAAAAAATATTTTTGCTTTTTTCCTTTTATTGTGGTAAGTTAAGGATTTCTGTTATGTCACTTTCTGTCTTTACAAAAATCAGAACTGTGGCCTGAAAGAATTACAAATGTGCTCTGAACAGCACTACTTAGAGCAGGAACAATCTGAACTCAGGCCAAGTATACACACCCTAAATTGAGTTCATGCCAGCATCACTCCATTCAACTGTTATTGCTTTCCTAAGAAGGTAATCTAGTCACTGAGAGTTTAGCTGCAGGGTATTGCTGGGCTTTGAGCATCTTTGTAGTTTAAATAGCATATAATTATACCTGAATATTTAACAACTCAAAACCAGTATTTTGATACCATGAATTCCATAGTATGAGATTACCTGCTATATTTTACAAATCATTCTTAGCAGAAAGTGATAAGTGTTGGCCTTGGACAAATGCCCAAATAATACTAAACTGGATCTATTTTCAGACAGAAATTGACTCTCCCTCAGTCAACTAGGGCCAGTACTAAAACTTCACTTACTATGCTGTGGGCTTAACTGTTTTTAAATTCCTATCAGTACAGCTAACAACCCTCTATGAGAGAAGACACTGGTACTAGAGAAATATAAATTTACCGTGATACTGGATTAATCTAAACTTATCTATTATGAAAGAAAAATGAGAGATTTTCATTATTAATGTAGGTTTACTTGTAGGGCCATCATATCATTGAGAAATGGCAAGCCTCCAGGAAAAAAAGCTGATATGTTTTACTTTGACATGAATACAATGTTTAAGACTGAATACCTTATTGCTGTAAATCATCTTGATACTGGTACCCTAAAAAACAAAAACAAAACATAATTTTTAAAGAACAAAGTTCTGGTTTAGAGTTTCCAACATAATATATTTAGAATGTAAAATAACTTATCTGATGAGATGATCCACCTGTTTTTATTTCTGTCACTCCTAAAGGGACCTAAAAAATGAAGTCACAGGTTATTAATATGATGGAAACATTGGAATAAATTTCACAAGGTAAGCAGCAAATTAAAATGATAGTGTTTCCATTTTATAAAAATATTAACATTTCAAAATACTAAGAAACCAGAAGAAATCTTTAAATGAAACAGTGTTTATGTATAATATTAACTCCTAATGTTTCTCTAATTTTTAAATTTCTTACCTTTGGAAATGCAATCCAGACTTGACCTAGATTTTACTTTCCTATATCCATACTATATGCCTAGGCTATTTCTTGACAGGTCTTTCCTAATGGCTCCCACCAAACTGCCACAAAAAGCCTTCAAAAATGATAATTAGAATTCCCCTTGCCAAAAACCCTCTTTACATGTTTCCTATTTAAATGTCAGGTTTTAAAAAACCCAAGAATAACAGTGCAGTTGCTCCTAACCCTAAATAAAACTTTGGTTCTACCACTGAGACTATTTGTATAAATCTACAATGTCTTTAATGAAATAAGTGTATAGCCCCCCAGACTATAGGTACTTGACCTACATTTTACAAGAAGTTGTTTAAAACTACCAAAAAAAAAAAAAAATCACACTTCCTACTTTTTATCTGGTGAACAAGGAGTCAAACATCCAAATGCTCAAGGCACGTCTTTTAAAAAATGTTTAGTTAGGTGTAATAGGGGGGTTCATTTAGACATAGGCATACATGCATGTAATAAAATTTGCTCCATTTCAACCCTGTATTTCCATTTTCCCTGCCCTCATCCCTCTCCTGGTACACATCTTACAGAAATAATTCCTAGTAGTAAAGTACAAAGTAAGGTATAATATTTTAAAAATACTGGCTCAAAAATGTCAGTGATTTATCTGAATTTCTCGAAAACTGAAGCTCAGAAATATGTAACATTTGTAGGATCAATTCTTATACTGAAGCACAGTAATGGGATTTTTCTTGACAAAAGCAGCTAGGGGCTTGTAGCCTACTTCAGTGTAAACAAATTAATTTAAGAAAGATAGCATTATAATTAAATCTAGGATATAGTTTATAAATTGATACAAGTTTCAATCTGGCTGGCTTTGTCATTTTTAATAATTGTGATTTTGGAGAATTACTAACTAAATTTCATCTATACAGTGAGGATTTATGTACCATTTTAAAAAAGCAACAAAAAAGTAAAGATAGAAATTTAAACTTAAAAAGAATTAGAAGTGATCAGAAGACCAAGTATGGTTAAAACATCAATTTGCAAAGGGATTTATAAATTCAATGTAAACCTAATCTCAAGAGGCACAGAGAGCAGGAAGGGTAAAATTAATAAGCTGTTTCTAAAATTTTTGTAAGGAAAGCAATTTGAAAAGTCAAAATAGTATAGAAAAAGAACACAGTAGAGAAACTATCTGGCTTCAAGACTTACTATTAGGGGATGCAGCTAAGTGGTAAGTGTTTGCCTTGTATGTGTGAGATTCTGGTTTGATCTTTTAATACACCAAAGAAACAAAAACAAAAATCCAGACTTAACTCTAATGCTCCAGATACAATGTTAATGGGACACAATGGAGTTCAAAATCAGATTTCAAATATGATCAACTAATTGAAAAGGCAAATCAATGGAGAAAAGAATGATTTTTCAACAAATGATGCTAGAATACTGGGATACCTATCCACAGTATAATTCCAAAAAAATACACAAAGATCTCTTATTGGTTTTAAGAAAGAATCATCCATTAAATCCATTAAAGTTGCACAATAAAAAGTTTCAAGAATGACAAAATAGGAAAAACTGAGGAAAAATACTTGCAAATTATCTGACAAAGGATTTGTGCACAGCAGATACACAGAACTTTCAAAATGATGCAACATGAAATACCCTAATTGTAAAAAAATGGACAAGAGTCAGGCTAAACACTAAACAAGATACATTGATGGCAAATACCTATGTGAAAAGATGCTTTTCACTATTAAGAGAAATACATATTAAAATTACAATGTGTTATCACTGAGCTTTAGATAGTGTACAATTAAAGACAAATCACCAAGTACTGGTGAGGATGTGGATTAACAGGAATGGATTAAGTAAAATGGTATGGCTGCATCTGAAAACAGTTCGCCAATTTCTTATGAAGTTTAACACTTAACACATAACTCACTGTTCCTACTGACAGGTGTATACGTGAAATGGAAACTAAGGCTGTATGACTCATACATACTGCTTAATTACAACTGTGATATTTTGGAAAAGGCAAAACTTGCAAGGATCAGAAAAACATCAGTTTTTCATGGGGCAAGAAAAGAAACAGAAAAGATACTTCAAAGTATTTATGAGATTATACTTCTAGGCTTAGACTGTGGCTCAGTGGTGGAGTACTCGCCTAGCACATGGGAGGCACTGGGTTTAATCCTCAGCATGATGTAAAAATAAATAAAATAAAGGTATTGTGGCTATCTACAACTTAAAAAAATTAAAGAGATTTTACTTCTGTCATAAGGCTAAACAGCAGAATGAAGCAATAGGGGCAAGAGGTATTTAAGAAAACTCATTTTGATTTTACGAGAAATGTTACCATAAAAATATACAACTTGCTGGGTGTGGTGGCACACACCTGTAATCCCATCGGCTCAGGAGGCTGACACAGGAGGATCAAAGTCAGCCCCAGCAAAAGGGAAGCACTAAGCTGACACAGGAGGATCAAAGCCAGCCCCAGCAAAAGGGAAGCACTAAGCTGACACAGGAGGATCAAAGCCAGCCCCAGCAAAAGGGAAGCACTAAGCAGCGAGACCCTGTCTCTAGATAAAATACAGAATGGTGTTGGAGATGTGGCTCAGTGGCCGAGTGCCCCTAAGTTCAATCACCTGTACCCAAGAACAGTATATAACTAGGTGAAAAAGGGGAAATTAACAGCAGATGGTTTCACATATTTTACAACTCAACATCAACTTTCAAAAAGAGCAACACAAAGGTGTTAGGAGAATTATTTCCAACATATAGGTGGATGAAGAGTTCAGGAACTGTATAATTGTTCATTTAATGGTCAGAGATTAAAAAACATCTCTTATTTTTATTTTTGTTAATTAGTTTTAAGCTTTTACTCAAAGCAGTAGCAATCTTTATTTAGAATACAACCTTTGAGAAGAATTAGTTTTACTAACATTTGAATTTAATTCTTTACTTTTTTTCAAAAGAAGGAAGTGGCTTAATTTTTCATGAAACCAGAAGGTGGAGGGAAGCATTATCTTGGTGAATATTAGTTTTCTTTCCTCTGTGAGACGCATGTCCAGTAGAAAATGCTCTGTGCATTTGTCTGTGAATGTAAAAAGCATCTCATTTTACTGATAGGTCAAGGAAGAGAAAAGTATCAGAAAAGTATCAATTTGGTAAAATAAGAGCTTGGTTCCACCACAGTATAGCAACATTCCCTTACCTGCAAAGTATAGGTTTATAGTGAAAGCATGCTCTGACATATTTTATTAACTATTAGTTCATTTCACAGGACTGAAAAAGCAACACTAATTCATTATTTCTTTTTTTTTTTAAGTATTTTTTTTGAGAGAATTTTTAATATTTATTTTATTTTAGTTCTTGGCGGACACAACATCTTTGTTGGTATGTGGTGCTGAGGATCGAACCCAGGTCGCACGCATGCCAGGCGAGCGCACTACCGCTTGAGCTACATCCCCAGCCCCTAATTCATTATTTCTAACTCATGTTTTATTTATTCATTACTTTAGTAACAAAAGATTCCCTGTACCAACCCCTCTTCAGTACTAGGGACTGAACCCAGGGCCTCACACAAGCTAGGCAAGCACTCTACCATTAAACTATCCTCAGCTAAATTTCGAGACAGGGTCTCTCTCACTAAGGTGCCCAAGACTGACTTCTAAATTTTGATCGTCTTGCTTCAGCCTCCCAAGAAGTTGCAATTATAGTATGTGCCACTGTGCAAGATTCTTAAAAATGGTATTACTGCAACTTTTGTACAATATATTCCACACACACACAGTGTAGTGATACATTTCTATTCTAACATTTGAATTTTAACTGTTCCCACTGTTATTTGGAATAAACTGAATGCAATTCTTCTATATTTCTAGAATAAAGTCTATTAGAGGGGCTGAGGCTGTGGCTTAGTGGTAGAGTGCTCGCCTAGCTTGTGCGAGGTGCTGGGTTCGATCCTTAGCACCACATAAAAATAAATAAATAAAATAAAGGTATAAAAAATCACATCTTAAAAAAAAAAGGCCTATTAGAAATGAACACAGACTGTTCCTTCAGAGGTGACATAATTCATTCACAAACATAAACATGTTTGACACAGAAAGCCGAAAGGCAAGCCATAATACTGGCAAGTCATACACTAAAAATTTCTGACAGCAAGCAGTTTCTCTTCCTTCCTGGCAATCCTCTCTCATGATACAAAGCCAAATGCAGCTTTCTGACAAATGACTTCATGTGGAGACATAACGTGCCATTTTCCTCCCCCTCTCGATATTTGGATGGCTTCCAAAGTGAATTTCAGGAGACGCTTTAAACATGAAACTCAAACTAGCCTACTTTAAAATCTATTCTTTTCCCTAAATGGAAATCTGACAAAACAGGAAGTACCCAGCAGCAGAGAAGCAAGTTCTGCAGCTTTAATATTTACTGGGAACAGCCTAGTTCTTCATGACTATGTAATAAAAATGCAGAAGTTCAAAACTGGGTGGAAAACAGCAAAGTTTGCGGTAGCATACGTAATTTTAAGGCCTTAAAAGCAGTATCACATGATAAATAGAGAAATAAGAAACCGCAAAAGGGCCTTTTGTTTGGCTATATTTCCTTGTATGAAAATCCCTTTCCCAGTTCCTTCTGACTAAGATATAAGCCACCAAAACTATACAAACACTGCAAACAGCGATATGGTAGCAAATAAAAATTTAGAAACAGATTTTTTTGAGAATCAGTAAGAATTTTATAGCTTGGTTTGAGGGAACCAATGGGGCAAAGTGAGATTTTTTTTCTTGCTTGCTATAGCATTTGAGGTAACCCTGCATGTGAATAAATATAAACCCCTAAGTGGTCTGTTAGGATCAGCAGAGTCAATAATATATTATCAAACATACCACCAGCCAAAAAAACAAAAACAAAAACCCCTTCCTCCATAACTTATTCACGCCCTACTTTAAAGCTGTGGAAATAACTAAAGAGCAGTACAGTATACTAAAAGGCCTAAAGTACTAAACAAATATCATCATCATCTATCCTTTCCTTCTTCCCCGGCAAAAGCAAGATGAGATCCACAGGCAGTCAGGAAATGTGTGATTATCTATTAATAAGTCATGAATTAATATAATAGATCAACTGGGAATAGTGACACAGACCTATAATTCCAGCTACTTAGGAAGCCGAGGCAGGACAACCTCAAGTTTTGAGACCAACTTTTTGAAATCCTAACTCAAAATTTTTAAAAAAGGGAGTGGAACGAGGATGTACTTTAGCAGTAGAGTACTTGCTTAGCATGCTGGGGGTCCTGGATTCAATCACTACCAAGTAAATAAATATTTTCTCCTGTAACTGATTTAAGTACACTGAACAGTATAGAAAACAGAAGCTTCACTGTAATGAAATTAGTTGGTAATCATGCTTAGCTATTATTTGAAATTTACTTTAATGTCCAATGAAAACAAAACTCTTAATAAATGGGTTAGAGACAGAACTCAGTGTAAAGTGCTTATTTAGCATGTTCATGGCCTTGGGTTTGATTCCCAGTGAGGGGAGAAAAAAAAAAAAAAAGAGAACAAAAAATCCTTGAAAATAAGGAGGGACATTAAAACTTGTCAGAATATGATCCTATGTAATATGAACATCAACTACTTCCTTAAGTACTAAAATTATCAAGTCAGTGCCTGATACTTCTGATTTGGGTATGAGAAGTACACAATGTAATTCCTATTTGAAAAATGTGGTGCTGGATGAGAAATTTCAAACATTAAGAGTTATAAATACCTAGCCCATGAAGTTTATTCTCTAAAAGCAAAAATTCATGCAGTGACTATCTCAGAGGTCACAGTAATGAGTAAAACCAACAGGCTTATAATTACAACATAACATCTGTTTTTCAAAGCCAGTGTTATTATATTATGATGCTCCTTTAATTCAATGTCCTACTAAGTTATTATAAAAATTCTAAGAACTGCTTCTTTAGATGTATGATATGGCTCTGATATTTCAATTTATCTCCCTAATTTCCATAATTCTCATTTCTTCTAAATCTTAAAGGCCCAAACCCTTATCAGTATCACAGTAACTAAGGATAAAATAAACATACTCAAGAATATCTCTTCCAATTCCTATTCTCATTTCTAGTGTCATGGATTATGGTATTGTGGTTTTTAAAAAGTACTTACATGGTAAAATTATGAGTTCAAAAACTTATTGATCCAGGTGGCCTAGTTAGTCCTTGCTAAACTTTTCTGAAAGAAAATATTCTAATGAAAATTCCTAATTTGTGCATAGTACCCATAGTGCTATTACCCCTCCATAGGCTCTTGAGCCCAATTCAATTCCCAAAACTTTTAAGTGCTCTAATTTTAAGGCACTGATTAAGAGGTTCTTAGAAGTACAAATACTGAAAAAGCACATCTTTAATGACATATATTTGTCTATTAAATGCCATCTTTTGCTTGCTATACATTTTATAACATTTCATTCTACAAATAAGTACCCACAAATGCCAAGGCCTATGAGGCTCCTAAACTTACAAAGGTGAACAAGGTATAAGCTCTCTATCTATAAAGATTTTATGACAAAGTGAAGGACATATAAATAAATGAAATAGCTAAAATGCAATATAGAAAGTGGCAGGAATTATGTATGAGAAAACATGGAGATATTACTTGTAACTACACCTATAGTGCTATCAAGGAAGCTTTACTTAAAATGTATTTGAACATGCAGAGATAAGGCAACATTCTAGGAGGCTGGACTATTACCGAAAACAGAAAAAGGAACAGGAAAAGCATGAGGCTTGTAGAGGGGAAAATGACAGTGGAGAGTGACTGTTGCATATGATTTTTTTTTTTTTTGAGAGAGAGAGAGAGAGAGAGAGAGAGAGAGAGAGAATTTTTTTAATATATTTATTTTTTAGTTTTCGGTGAACACATCTTTATTTTTATATGGTGCTGAGGATTGAATCCAGCACAGCACGCAAGCCAAACAAGCACACTGCCACTTGAGCCACATCCCCAGCCCTGCATATGATTTTTGAAGGGAAGAAATAGGAAATAACACTGAAGAAAGGTTGTTATGACCTTGAAGAGGGTCTATAACATAAGAGAGTCATCTAGCTGCTTTATCTCTGTAATAAAAATGATAACATAATAATTTAAACTTTCCTGGGATAACACTCATGTAATAATATTCACATTAAGACCACCTGATTCATAAGTACTTCCTAAATACTTAGTATCATTCTAATAGCACTTCACATGTATTAATGTAATTCTAATCCCAACCTTGTCAGATGAATTCTCTTATTGATGGGGTAGAAAATAAGAGAAATACATCCTAAACCACTAAATTCCCTGGCTACATATTCACATACTAAACCTAGAAGTATTTCTTTGCTATTCCTGAAATATTTTAAAATATTTTTTTAGTTGTAAAGGGGACATAGACTCTTTTTTTGTTTACTAATTTACTTTTTATGTGGTGCTGAGGCTTAAACCAGTGCCTCACACATGCTAGGCAAGCACTCTGCCACTGATCTATAGCCCCAGCTCCCTGAATGTTTTTTTTATATTTTTGTTGTTGTTGTTGTTTTGTATTAGGGATTGAACTCACGAGTGCTTTATCACTGAGTTACATCCCCAGTCCTATTTTTTTTTAATTTGAAATTTTGAGATAGGATCTTGCTAAATTGCCCAGGCTGGTCTGGAAATTATTATCATCCTGCTTTAGTCTTCCAAGTTGCTGGGATTACAGGAATGTGCCACAGAATGGTTTTTTTTTTTTTTTTTTGGGTGCTGGAGATCAAAACCAGGGCCTCACACATGCCAGGCAAATGCTCTTCCACTGAGGCACATCTGTAGCCCACCCTGAAGGATTTTTTAAAATATATGATTTTTTAGTTGTAGTGGAACACAATATCTTTTATTTATGTGGTAGTAGCGAGCGCAGTACTCCTGAGCCACAATCCCAGCCCTTCCTGAAATATTTTTACAGCTATTATTCTTACAGGGATAGGAAAAACCTAAATCCTGTCAGGTAACTATAAAGTGGAATCAAAAAGGAAAAAAATAATTTAACATTGTGATTTACCTATACCTAACTAATCATTTAGAAGACTTGCTTTTTCCTGACATAAAATCAGAACTTTTCTCTTGATAAATTACAGGGGGGAAAAAAAGAAACAAAACACAAAACACACACTTTTTTTTTTAAGGCCTTAGAATAACAGGCAAAGGAAGGGTTTGCATGTGATTGTGCAAGTGTGTGTGTATGCGTGTGTGTTAGGAGCAGAAGGGGAATAGGTGGTAGAAGAATCAAAAGAGGTTAACTGGTGAAACTAAGCTCTTTCTTGAGGAATACTTAAAAGTTAACTGTAAAATTTTTGGTACAAGGGACTGAACCCAGGGGTGATCAAACCATACCAAATCCCCAGTCTTTTTTATTTTTTATTCTGAGACAAGGTCTCACTAAGTTGCTGAAGCTGGCTTTGAATTTGTGATCCTCTTGCTTCAGCTTTCCAAGCCACTAGGATTACAGGTGTACACAAAAGTTAACTCTTCACTTGTTCTGACATTTTTTTTGGGGGGGATTGAACCCAAGGTCACTTAACCACTGAGCCATGACCCCAGCCCCTTTTTATATTTAGAGACAGGGTCTCAGTGAGTTGCTGAGGGACTTGCTAAATTGCTGAAGCTGGCTTTGAACTCCTGATCCTCCTGCCTTAGCAGTCTGTGACCTGTTCTGACATTTCTAACTATTAAAATATTTTATTACATTTAACATTAAAATTTTATGTTAAAATAAAAGTGATTTATTTTTAAAACATTTTTTTAGTTGTCACTGGACCTTTTATTTATTTATATGAGGTGCTGAGGACTGACCTAGGGCCTCACTTATGCCAGGCAAGTGATCTACCATTAAGCCAAAACTCCAGCCCTAAAAGTGATTTCTAAGAACAGGACAATGTAAAAAATTTTTTTTCTTAGTTACAGACAGACACAATACCTTTGTTTTATTCTTATTTATTTTTCTGTGGTGCTAAAGATTGAACCCAGCACCTCACACATGCTAGGTAAGTGCTCTACTACTGAGCCACAACAAAGCCCCAGGACAATGTCAATTTAATTACTTGGATTTCAGCTATTTAAAGATCTTGGCGTATATTCATATTTTGTGTATTTTTTACCTCTCTATATTCTACTGAAATCAAACTATATCAAAACATGCAAAAATTAGTCCACTGAGGAAAAAGCAAAGAGATTTTACCCCATGTGTCTACTTTAAAAATACATACTTTATAAGATGCCTTCATAAAACTACTTTGTTTCAATAATGAAAAACTAATTTCTCCTTAAGTTAGAGAATCATCTCATTTTCCTGAACTTATTTAACACATTTAACTTTTTAATCAAAAAGACTTAAAAAAAAAACCAGAAATAAGAAAGTCCCGATTAAAAAAGTAGCCAAATCTAATAAACTAGAATTAAAAGTTAAAATATAGAAAACAACATAAGATCCTGAATTAATGCCTGTTCCAATCAGTGACCCTGGAAGTAATTTGACAATTGAATAGACAGATGCTTCCTGGACATTTCAAGCTTTTGCTTATATGTTTAAAAACAAATTGCATCATTTTTACCTACAAGTGGTCTTTCTGATCTTCCTAAATCAATTAATGTAACTATTCCCTCTCCTTAAATCTTGGAAGTGTGACTTTTTTTTTTTTCCTTTATACCTCTATAATAAATTAGAGGCTAAGTGCTGTCCACTCTTTCTTCCTCTTCCAAACCTAATAAGCTCTTGCCCACTTATTACCTTTGCTCTCCAGGTTCCACTCTAGATTTACTTCTTGCTTACACTACCTCAACAGTATCTTCTCTTGGTCTTTCCAATTCCTATTCAATATCTTCAACTTTTCAATCATACTGGACATTATTTTGGAGTAATTTTCCAAGAATATATTTTATGTACATTTTAACCTGTGTCTATTTAAAAACCTTCAGGAAAACTAAAAATATGAGAAATCTATATGCAAAAATACGTGCAGCAAATTACTACTAAGTGTTATATAACAATGCAAACAGAAATAAAATATCAAGAGTCCATCTATAATTAGAAGGCTCATCTTGTGTAAGAATCAATTAAGTGGGGCTGGGCTTGTGGCTCGGTGATAGAGTGGTCGCCTAGCACTTGTGAGGCACCGGGTTCAATCCTCAGCACCACATAAAAATGAAATGAAGCTATTGTGTCCACCACCTACAACTAAAAAACATATATTAAAAAAATACTGGAAGAATGATTAAAAAAAAAAAAAGAATTAAGTGAAATCATGGAAAAAGGTCCCACCTCACTAGTTAACAACAAAAGTCTTACAAAGAAGGAAAAAAAAGCAACATGTTTTTCACATATTAATAAAAATGCTAATTATCTGTGTTTTGGTCTGTTCTCTTAGGATTAATTTAAAAGGTCATTCGTTATTCAGTCATTTTTATGACTTCTGAAACGACGTTTTGAAAAAGTCTACACTAATTTACACTATCACCCTCCATGTGAGTTTAGTTACTGGTATTGAGTAGTCTGTAATGAGTATTTTTCTTAATAGGTGAAAAACATGTTGCATTCCCCCCCACTTCTTTTTAAGATCATTTCCCTTTTCTTTCTCTCTCTCTCTTTTTTTTTTTTTTGGATAATATTCCAACCACAAGGTTGGAATATTATCCAAAATTGGAATATTATCTTTACATGTTCAAATTCTTTTTTAAGTAAAGATTTTTTGGGGGGTGGGGAGTGTTACCGGGTATTGAACACTATCATTCTACCACTGAGCTACATCCCCAGCCCTATTTTTTATTTTATTTATTAGAGACAGGATCTCACTTGAGTTGCTTAGTACCTTGATTTTGCTGAGGCTGGCTTTGAACTTGTGATCTTCCTGCCCCTAGTAAATCTTTCTTTTCTTGGGGGGGGCGGGGTGTGCCAGAGATTGAACTCAAGGGCACTCAACCACTGAGCCACATCCTGAGCCCTATTTTGTATTTTATTTAGAGAGGGTCTCACTGAGCTGCTTAGTGCTTTGTGGTTAACTGAGGCTGGCTGTGAACATGTGATCCTCCTGTTTAAGCCTCCTGAGGCAGTGGGATTAGAGGTGTGCGATACTGCGCCCAGCTAGTAAATCTTTCTTGATACCTCTATATGTATTGCTACAAGATCTTTACCTAACTGGTTTACCAACTGCCCAAAATACATCTTTTCTTATATAATCACATTCTTGCTCACAACCTTCCATCCAATTATAAAGTCTTCTTTCTTTCTAATTTTACAGGTTATATATCATTACCCTTAAAAAGTTTCAAACACCAATTAATAAATTTCCTTCTACTGTTGTGTTTTAATGGTGCTGGGGATCTAACCCGAGACCCTATACATGCTAACTATGTTCTTTACCACAGATGGACATGTATACACCTACACACACACACACACACTCCTACATACACATGTACATATATGTATATCCCCAGCTCCTCTGTTCTTTCTTAAAGCAATGTGTCTTAAAAATTTCTAGATCTCCTTGACTGTATAGAGAACTTTATTATTATTTAAATCTTTAAATAAAGATCTAATTTTCTTAAATCTTTTGAAGCATGTATTTAGACTAACTTTTCATGTTTAATTATGTTCTCTTTTATTGACAGTAAGTTTCTCAAGCACAGATCCTTGTAGAAAAGCCATTTAGTAACCAGATCTGCATAAATCCAAATCCTAAGTATGCTGTTATTCTATTTTTAATTATATGTAGAAAAACATCATTATCTATGACTCCATGTGGCCATAAAATCATCAGTGAGCTGATTTTAGAGCTGATTAGATAGAGCAAAAGACAATATAGATTAAAATGTATGCTTTGATAATAAGCAAATTATGTAATTTCTCAAAAATAAGTCTAGGAATCAGTTCTACTCAACAATCAGTTCTATTCTGAACATATACTGATATTTCTAGAAATAACTGTACAATGGAATAATAAATTCTATTATTTTTTACACACACACAGGACCAACCTTGATTATTTAAGGATAAACTAAAATTACACACCAGAAATGGGATTTTTCAAGACCCAGCAGATTCAAGCCTTTCAAAACTGGGATACATAGCTTCATTTCCCCAGAAAATCAGTCTTATTCTGAAAGACAAAGACTTCTTTTGAGTTATGTTATAGCTTAGACATTTAGAATACACACTATTATAAAAAAAATTATCTTACTGCTGAACTCTCACTGGTCAAATTTTCTTTTCAAGTTTTTAGAAAGAAAGAGGGACCCCATGAATATGCTCAC